TTTCTGTTTACAAGCCGCGGGCAGGGAAGCTCGATCCAAAGCACTCACTCGTAGTAACCATGAGGCCAGGAGGAACTTGCTTTTTCTTTGTGTGGCTAGCTTTTTAAAGGCAAAATCCACAGGCCCTTCAGGGGGGTTGGGGGAGTTTTGCATGGGTGCAACTCAGATTGGTTTATTTTTATCTCTGTTCTCTTTTAATTGGGTGAGGGTATGTAACCTTTGAATTTACTGGTTGGTGGTTACAATTTATTACTTCGGGGGCAGTCCATCACAAGTCTCAGGCTTTGTCCTTGAGCCACCATGGGGGCTGGCTGGCCAAGCACGTACTGCACATAACTCTAAGTTGGTGAGGGGCCCCAGAGAGTAAACATCTGGCTGAACTTTGAGCAGTCAGAGTACATGCAGAAAGGGAGCTACTGCAAGGACTATGTCTTTTGTTCATGGCCCTCCCCAAAACTGCTTGCTCAGTCTCAGGAAACTGAAATTGAGGCTTGATCTCTGAGAGAAGACTAAGCAGCCTGTTATGGCATCTGCTTGGTCCTTTCACATCCAACGCAGTGGAGGCTGGGGGAAGTGCCCACCTGTCTGCAAGCTCAGTTTTTAAAGGCAAAAGCCGCAAGGTTATATCATTTAGGGGTGCTAGTACAGGTACAATTCTGATTGGCTCGCTTCTAGGGGCTTTCTAGAAATCATGGCTTAATCTACTTCTAAGGGAGTGGTTACCCGCCACCATTTCTCATTGGCTGCCCTCAGGTGGGGACATTTCTTCGGTCAGTTACCCTTTAAACCAGGGAGAGGACATTCCATAGTGCGGCAGTCACTACCTCGTGACTACCTTGTAACTCTGTACTTTTACATTTCCTGGTTTCTGGAATCTGAACTGACTGGTTTCAGTAACTAATGACCTATTCCTAAAAGGAGAAATCTTAGGCCTTAATTTTAGGGTGAAAGCATTTTGGTCTTATTTCTAAGATGGCTCATTTTGGTCTCACAAAAAGCATGTGTGCTTCCCAGTACTGGGATTAAAGGTGTGTGCCAACACTGCCTGGCCCTGTTTTCTCTCCTAGACTGAGTAAATCTCCTGTAGTCCAGGTGGCTTTGAACTCACAGAGATCATCTCTGTCTCCTGAGTTCTAGAATTAAAGGTGTGTGTCACCACTGCCTGACCTCTGTGTTTAATCTAGTAGCTTGTTTTGTTCTCTGATCTTCAGGCAAAATTTATTAGGGTGCACAATATATCATCACACATGAGCAAAGGGGTTGTATAATCTTCCTCCATGGTTAAGGAGAGCTGTTGAGGCCAGGCAACATGTGACAGGGTAGGGGCCGAATGAAGGCCCCAAGAGTGCAAGAGTCTCTGAGGCCATTGTGTGAAGCTATGAAAGTGAAAGCAAGATCCTCTTCAAGATGTTGGAGACACCAGAGTCATGAGACATATGCCAAGGAGATCTACAGACAGGGAGTAGGACCAGCCCAAGGAAGAGAAGTGTGTTGCAGTCAGCAAAGATGGAAGGGAAGAGCCTTCTAAGTCCTTTGACATCAGACATGGAGCTCTAGGATTTGGAGTTTGCCCTGCTGGGTTTTGATCTTGATTTGATCCAGTATTTCTTCACTATTGGAATGGTAATGTATACTCTGTGCTATTTTATGTTGGAAGTATATATAATTTGGTTTTTGCTTTTGCTTTTACGGTCCTTACAATTAAGAGGTTGCCTTGAGTTTCACAAGAGACTTTGGACTTTTAAACTGTGTTGAGACTGAAAGATTATGGGGACCTTTGAAGTTGGACTAAATGGGTTTCTCATTGTGGTATGGCCACAAGCCTTTGGTGGGGGGAATTGAATGTGGTGGTTTGATGAGAATGACTTTCTAGTTTTTTGAATATTTGAATACTTGATCCCTAGTTTGCGGAACTGTTTGGGAATGATTAAGAGGTGTGGCCTTGTTGGAGGAAGTATGTTAGTGGGGACAGACTTTGAAGTTTCAAATACCCTTCCTCCTCCCAATTAGTGCGCTCTGCCGCCTACTTGTGATTCAAGATGTAAGCTTGTGCTTGTGATTTGAATGAAAATGGCCTCCATAGGCTTATATGTTTGAATGTTTGGTCCCCAGTTAGTGAATTGTTAGGAGGTATGATCTTGTTAAAGGAAGTATGTTACTGGGGATGGGTATGTTGCCTTTTCCTTGGTCATAGTGTTTAATCACATCAGCAGTAACCCTAACAAAGCTCTTAGCTATTCCTGCCACCATGCTTTTGCTTTGTCATGGACTCCTAACTACCTCTCTGAAACTGTAATCCCCAAATTAAGTGCTTTCTTTTATAAGTTGCTAAGGTCATAGTATCTTACCACAGCAATAGATGAGTTCAAAAACTAAGAATGTTCTCAGATAGGAACACTGCAACCTATGTTATAGTTTTACCTGCTCTGCTGCATCCTATCTTCCTGTGGTTCTCCATACAGATCCATGTCTCAGTACCATATTTATGACTTTCTTTGCTCCATAACTACTAATATCTTACATAACTACATCTACAGTGATCAGCCTGAATCTTACGTGCTCAGACCATATTCACTCATATTTGGCTCAAGGACATACTGTTTTATTTTCTTTAAGGTTAAAGCTATGTTTGATTTTGACCCACTTCTTCATTTCCCAAAATTACATCTTTTCACAGGAAATAGCATCTCCTTTGTTGGTCTGACTTTTCTCCATAATTAAAAAAATAAATAAAATTTAACAGTGATTTAAAATGTATTCAGATCTTGAGGTGGTTGTGGCATACCCTTGCCTATAATCCCTGCACTATGAGGAGGCAGAGGTCAGCAGGTCTCTGAGTTCAAGAACACTCTGGTCTACAGAGCCAGTTCCAGGACAGCCAGGGCTACACAGAGAAACTCTTGCCTTGAAAAAACATAAATAAATAAATAAATAAATAAATAAATAAATAAATAAATAAATAAATAAATAAATAGATAAAATTTTATCAGATTTTGTCAAGTCAGAGAAACTCTTGTCTTGAAAAACCAAAAATAAGTAAATAAATAAAAATAGATAAAATTTTATCAGATTTTGTCAAGTAGCTTCTGGAGCCTATTTTCCTAACCCATTATCAACAATGGATAGCACTTCTATTTCTCTCAGTTGCTACCTGCCCACCCATGGCTACTACTAGAAATTGATTGTGTGACCTTTCATATACTAGGTGAGGTCTGTCTCAGGTATTTCTGAGGTATGTCTGCAGCCCTTACTAGTTAAAAGGATAGGACTTTTGTTTTTTTGTTTGTTTGTTTTTGTTCAGTATCTCACCCTGTAACCCAAGCCACTTATCACCATGAAGCTCATACTCATTTTGAATTTATGATCTTCCTTGTAAGTCTTCTGAGTGTTGGGATTATAGGCATATACCACCAAACCTGGCCAAAATATGTTTTATTTGGTGCTTTTTTATTTTGTAAATAGTTTTTGTAAAGATGTATTTATTTATTATGTATATAGTGTTCTGCTTACATGTATGCTTGCAAGCCAGAAGAGGGCACCAGATCTCATTACAGATAGTTGTGAGCCACCATGTGGTTGCTGGGAATTGAACTCAGGAACTGTGGAAGAACAGCCAGTGCTCTTAACCACTGAGCCATCTCTCCAGCCCTTATTTTATAAATATTTTTAGGATTTTACTGTTTTATTTTTCTGTGGATGGCCTATTTATGTCTCTTGTCCATTTTAGGCTACTCCTTTTTATGTATATTTTTCTGTATTGCACTTATGACCACTTGCAAGCTGCTGCACATAATTTCTGATGTGTGTATGTGTGTCGTCTTTTGTCACTTTCCACCTTATTCTTTTGAACAGGATCTCTCACCTAAGGCTTACCACTGCCTAGACTGACTGGCCAGTGAGCACCTGGATTCACCCCCCCCACACACACACACTGCAAAAGGGGAGTTACAAGTATAACTTGGGTCTTTATGCTTGCATAGCAAACACCTTACCCATTGAGCCATCACCCATCTCCCTTAATTTAATGAGAAATTACTGGACAAGGAAAATTAGGGAGCCTCTTTAATGAGCAGTTATTACTAGATAAGGGAGATAGTCTTGATGTGGCTCGCCCTTCCTTCCTTCCTTCCTTCCTTCCTTCCTTTCTTTCTTTCTTTCTTGGTTTTTTGGGACAGGGTTTCTCTGTGTAGTTTTGCGCCTTTCATGGAACTCGCTCTGTAGACCAGGCTGGCCTCGAACTCACAGAGATCCGTCTGCCTCTGCCTCCTGAGTGCTGGGATTAAAGGCGTGCGCCACCACCACCCGGCTGACATGGCCATTTCTTGCTCTAAACTGGAAGTTCTTTAGTAACTTGTGTATGGCCTCAGCATTTAATACCATGTCCACTGTGGATTTGAGCATTCTGTAAATGATTCACAACAGATGAGATAAAGGTCTGACTCTTGTGTTCAGAGTGCTTAAAGTCTAATGTCTCCAGCTAGTAAAGAATTTAATAATAATAAAAAAGAGAAAATAGTATAATTAGAAAAACTTAGTAGGAAATGTCTCTGATTTCTTCTTTTAAATGTCCTACTCCCCAACTTCTCACTGATATCTACATCGAACCTTTAATTATTTTTTCTTATTTTTGAAATTAAATCTCACCAGCCATATTGGAAATATAGTGTTTCATCTTTTAAAACTTTTGTGTATTGTTATATGTTATGTGTTTGGCCTTCATGTATATCTGTGTACCACATTTGTGCAGTGTCCTCAGAGTCCAGAAGTGTGGGTTTCTATCCTCTGAAACTGGGGGTTGTAGACAGCTGGGCTGTGAACCTTGGAATTGAACCTTGGGTCTTCTGCAAGAACAGCAAGTGTGCGTTACTGCTGAGCCGTCTCTCCAGCCTTATTACATCTTGTTTTGAAATGGTTTGTTGCTGTGGTACAAAGTCGTGTGTATAAACTCGACTTTTATTTTTAACTTGAATACTAATTAATCTTTTTTTTAACCATTTCAGGTAAGAACATGAATTATGGAATTTCTTAAGTGAAGCATTCAGGAGTGAAATGAGAGAATGTCACATAGAAAATAAGTGATTTTTAAGTTATGTCTATTAATTTGACTCTAGATATATATATTTACCTCCTTAGTAATTCAAGAAGTCTTTGTGGGATTCAGAGAAGCAAACAGCTGCATTTTGTATGTTCTAAACATGACTGGCGAATGACCCATATCAGTGTGCACAGAGATTTTCACACAAGTAGGAGAAGCTGTCAATGGAGCCGAGGCGAAGCTGGCTACAGTAAGCGTTGGCACTCTCCAGGCAGCCATGGCTTCCATACCGGAACTTTGAAACTCTGCACCTCTACTCCCAAGGGACTTACAAAAGTGAGCCTTCGTATGTCCCGTATTAAAAGCACTTGGAATTCTGTTTCAAAGGCTATTTTTGGCAGTCAAAATGAAATGTTTTCACGGTTAGCTCAATTTAAGCCAAATTCTCGAATATTAAGAAAAGTATCAGATAGGGGCTGGTTAAAACAAAAAAATGTTAAACAAGCCATTGAATCTCTGAAAAACTATAGTGATAAATCAGCAGAGAAGAATTCTTTTGCCGAACAGAAAAGTTACATTGCAGATAAAGAAGAAGACACAGATAAACGGAGCCTTTTCCATTACACATACGGTATAACCGCCAGATTTGGAGAGTCATTCTACTTTTTAGCGAACCATATTAATTCATACTTCAGTCGCAAGGAAAGTATGTCTGAAACAAAGGAAGATAAACGTCTTCAGGACAAGCCAGACCTTGAAGAAGAGAAATCCAGTTCTCCTGCCCCTGACATCTTGACAGATGGGCCAGACTCAGGATCTCCCCTAGATGCTGGGGACAAACCTTCCAGCCCTAGCCGGATGCCTGAGGTTCTTCCAGTGTCTGCAAAGCAAAGTATTGCTAACTTCCTTTCTCGTCCCACCGAAGGCGTACAAGCCTTAGTCGGTGGTTACATTGGTGGACTTGTACCCAAATTAAAGTCTGACTCAAGGAGTCCGCCAGAAGGAGAGGAAGAGCCTGCGAAAACTGAGCAAGCTGTCAGCAAAGACAAGAAGGCCGAGGAGAACAAGCGTATGTCTCTCCAGCGAGAAAAGGCAAGTTGTTTCTCAGGGTGGGCCTAAGAAACGTTAGCCATTTATCGAGTAACTTTATCTCCTAATGACGTGTTTCCTGTGACCTTGTAGATTATTGCAAGAGTGAGTATTGATAACAGAACTCGAGCCTTAGTTCGGGCCTTAAGAAGAACAGCTGACCCAAAGCTCTGTATTACTAGGGTTGAAGAACTGACTTTTCATCTTCTAGAATTTCCTGAAGGAAAAGGAGTGGCTGTCAAGGTAATTTCTGTCTAACTTATTTAATATTTGTCTTGAGATAAAAATTCTAATGAGCCTTTTAAAGTGGGGAATTCAAAGCCTTTCTCATTTGAAAATTGTTGTTGTTTCAAATCCCACAATATATTTGGTAATTGCCCCATTATTTTATGTACACATTAGGCTAATGAATTACTTTTGTTATTCATTATTGTTATTCTGTGATATACATTCTGCTCTGATTGTGAATATCTGTACTTTGAGTTGAGCATATGTAAAAATGGAGCATAAGTTTAAATAAGTTAATTGTCGAATCCTTAATCGCAGTGCAGTCCATTTTTGCCATGTAATCATTTTTCAGACTATGAACTAGCCAGGTGTGTGATGCACCTTCAATTCCAGTGTTTGGGAGACTGAGGCAAGAGGACATTAGTGTGAGGCCAGCCTAGGCTATAAGAGCAGGAGTCTGTCTAAAAAGAAGACGGGAAACATAATATAGAAAGCCATTGCTGCTTTTTATTCACTGTCCCATGATGCTTTTACATTTGAAGTCCAAACATTTTAACTAATAATTGAATTGGTAAGCAATTAGCTTTCCTCGCTTCAGTAGTCTACATATAGAGTAGTGAACAAAGTTTAGACTTCCTTAAATAGACCATTTGAAGAGAAGCTAAGTGACCAAGGAAGGTGAGTCTCTGTGTCTGTACTAAGTTTACTTGTATGTTTAATAATTTGGAAATACCATAATGATATTGTTACAATTTCATTAAAAACCTGTTAGTGCTTTTTTTAAAAGTCTACCACACAGACAGGTATTAGTTCATACTTTTTCTACCTTCTGTCTTGTTGAAAAGTATTTCTTTGAAATGTACCCTTCAATAGTTTTACATTGTCTGACACATACATAACAGAGCTTCAATATTTTATATTTCTAAAATTTGAGATTTTTATTTCATATATAGATGTATCTTTTAGAGGTAAGATTTTTAAATATATGTGTTCTTTTAAAGATAATGTTCATGTCAGGGATAGCCAGAAAGGAGAGATCTAAAATAGAATTACTGTTTTAGTTCACTGAGCTGTTGTAACAAGTACCTTACACTGGGTGGGTTACATCCAGTAGAAATCTGTTTCTCATAATCTGCATACTGAGAAGCCCAGGGAAAATTGCTGACAGATCTGGGGTTTGGTGAAGGTTGGTTGGCTATATGATGCAGCTTGTGACTAGTTCACAAGGCATCATCTCCTTTTAGCCCCTTTCTCAAGGTCTCTAATCTCATACATGAGACAGAGGTCTCATGACCTAAGCACTTCCTGAAAGATACTACGTTGTAATATTAATGCACCAGGAACTAAGTTATGATATGAATTTTACAAGAGTCTTAGCATTCAGATACAGCATATATTTTAAAGAATGACTTAACAGCATCTTATTCAAGATTAACGTAGATACGTTTGGGTCAAGTGAAGTTCACATGCTCAGCATAGAAGCGAACAGAACATTGCCTGTGCCCTAGAAGTCTTCCTCACCTCCTGTAGTCTGCAGAAAAGGTTAGTTTGGGCTCCATGTGTGTTTGCTTTCTTTCCCATGACACATAGACAGGATTTATTCAAAGTGTGGTATGTAGTTATAAATGGTCCATCCTTGTTGCTTGTATTTATTCTGGTAGGTCACAATTTATTCTTTGTACTGTTAATGGATTCTGGGTAATTTTCAGCTTTAGTCTGTCAGGAATTGTCTTAATGGTTGAACTGTTGAGGATTCTCTTTTATTTGAGAACTGATCCCAGATTGAAGAAACTTTCAGTACTGAGAAGAAATGTGGTATAGAAATTCAATTCAAATCACTCAGGAAGGAAAATATAGGTAGCTGGAAGAAAGTTGTCACATTTCCCCTAAATACTAATCTAATAACAATGAACGGAAGAAATTGCATCATGTGTTGCTTGGCTGTGTACTTTGCCAACTCAACTTGTTTTTGCCAATTTCGCCCAATGTCTTAAGCAGCTTTTTGTTTTTTTTTGATCTTTGTATTCTTTAGATAGATTCATTATGAAGTTTAGCCAGACCTTAAACTTACTATGTCGCTCATGCTGGCCTGATCTTCTCCTGCCTTCTGCTTCTGCCTTTCAAGTGCTGGGTTTGTAGATCTGCACCACCATGTGGGGGTTAACCAGCTTTTTTTCTGGTTGATGCAGTTCTGTTGTATGTTAAGGTTTACAAGTTCTCTAGGAAGACGTGTAAGTGTACAGTGTCTTACCACCTGTGCTTATCTTTCAGTCTTTTTAAAAAATGACAGATACTAGTTTTAATTTAGCCCAGTTTATATGCATTTATGTGTTGTATTTAAGAAATGTTTGAATCTTCACATTTTTCCTTATAAGTGTAGCGCTCACCCACTCATCAGAGAAGTTTTTTTTTTTTTTTTTCAGGGAAAATTGTAGCAGTGGTAGTGGAAAGATTATGACACCCAGAGACTCAGGATAGTTGCTTCTAGATTGTGTCCCCTGGATAGGACAGGGACAGTGTACCCAGGAAATCACAGCTGCCTTAACAAGACAGGCATAAGATAGTCGCAGTTGGAATGTTATGTGGGTGGGGGAAATTCCACAGTGAAGAGCTCCAGGTAGTCAGTGGCTGCTGAGAGAGGGAGAACCAGCTCCCTCCGGGGAAGAGCTCCCATCGGGAAGAGCTCCCATCGGGAAGAGCTCCCATAGGGAAGAGCTCCCATAGGGAAGAGCTCCCATAGGGAAGAGCTCCCATAGGGAAGAGCTCCCATAGGGGTTGTTCAAACCCAGGCAATCAGCCCCAGGCAATCAGCCCCGGACACCTGGACATTCAGGCAAAGCTTAATGGACTCAGTAGGTTCTGTTCTCTCTCTGTCTCTCTCTCTCTGTCTCTTTGTCTCTGTCTCTGTCTCTCTCTCTCTCTCTCTCTCTCTCTCTCACATACACACACACACACACACACACACACACACACACACACACACACACACACACTGCCCTCGCCGCCGCCGCCGCCACCACCACCACTACCACCAGCAAAGAAGAAGAGATCATGAATTTGGGAGGGAGGGGAACATAAGAGAAGAGGAGGAAATGATGTAGGTGCAGGACTTATATATGAAGTTCTTAAAAAAATGAAATTAAATTTTAAAAAGAAAAAATTTTTTTCTTCCCTAAGTGTTTTTCTGGGTTTTCTTTAAAAATTTTGTTTTACCTTTCACACTAGTATGTATTGTTTATCTAGAGTACATTTGATTTTATAGTGTAAGGTAAAAGTTCTGATAGGTAATATACATGTCCAGTTGAACAAACAACCATTTATTGAAAAAAAAAAAACTTGTCATAAATGAGGCAGTTATTTATGGGGTTTTTTTTTTTTGGTTTTTTGAGACAGGGTTTCTCTGTGTAGCTTTGCACCTTTCCTGGATCTCGCTCTATAGACCAGGCTGGCTTGAACTCACAAAGATCTGCCTGCCTCTGGGTCCATTTTTTATAGTGGTCTATTTCTGGACACAATATTTCGTTCTGCTAGTATATTTATCTATTTTTGCTCCAACACTGTACTTCGTAAATTTATGATAAACTTAATGTCCAGTTTTGTAAGGCTTTTACCTTTGTTCTTCCTCATAATTTTTAACTCAGCTTTTCTTTTTTAAAAAGATTGATTTTAGCCGGGCGGTGATGGCACACGCCTTTAATCCCAGCACTCGGGAGGCAGAGCCAGGCAGATCTCTGTGAGTTCGAGGCCAGCCTGGACTACCAAGTGAGTTCCAGGAAAGGCGCAAAGCTACACAGAGAAACCCTGTCTCGAAAAACCAAAAAAAAAAAAAAAAGATTGATTTTAATTTTTTAAAGCTATGTATATGAATGTGTGTCTATGTAGGTATATGTGCATGCAAGTAAAGTTGCCTGTGGAGGCCAGAAGAGGGCATTGGACCACTAGGAGCTAGAGTTACAAGTAGTTGGGAACTACCAAATGTGGATGCTGGCAACCAAGCCCAGGATTTCAGCAAAAGCAGCACATGTTTCTAACCACTAAACCATCTCTCCAGCTTCTTAGCTTTGCTATTATTTTTCTTCCTTTTCTTTTTTATTTATTTTTATATGTCAGTCTGTGGTAACATGTGAATCTGGTGCCCTGTGGAGGCCAGAAGAGGGCCTCAGATCCCCGGGACTAGAGTTATAGTAGTGTACTTCCTTGTGGGTCCTGGGAATTGAAACCCAGTGGGAAGTTCAACCAGTGCTCTTAGTTACTTACTAAGCTCTACAGCCCCTACTTTGACTATTCTTAATTTCCATATAAAATTTAAAGTTAAACAAAAAGAAGAAAATTATGCTAAGATTGCCTTGAGTCAGTAAAACATTTTATGGTAAAGTAAGTATCAGTTTGATCTTTGTTTTCCATCGGTATTTAAAAATTCTAAAGTGTGAATGCCTTATACATTTTTCGTTAGGCTTATTTTGTTAATTTATAACTCTGGTGTTTTGAAGTATAATTTTATTAATGTTACTATGATTTAAGCATCTTTTATTGGTAATCTTAATAGGAGAATCACCCCTGGTCTTTGACATATTGATACTGATTTGACATACATCATGACTTCTGTATGCTGGGCATTGTGAGTTTCAAAAATTACTTAAGCTCTAGATTTCTTTTTCTAGAGAGTTACTTCGCTCCTCTGCTGACATACAAAATGGAACGCTATCACTAAGTTAGGACAGAGCTGAGTTAAAGATGATTAGAATTTGGGGAACACCTCTAATTTTCCCTGTTTTTAAGGTATATTCCTGGCCTACTACCATGCCTTAGGTCATACAAACTCAAGAATACAAAACATTATCTTGTGTTTCAGAAGGCTTAAGTTTAGCATTTCCCCCCCTCCCGTGCATCCTACTGAATTAAGTTGAAATCAGCTGTGCAATGTAAGCTCCCCAGGCATTTAGTTTTGTCACACCAGCCTCATGAGAATACATGCTTAGCTGGGTTCTCTGTTCCTTTGTGGCCCTCTCTAAACCAAGCCCAGCTTTTCTATCCTTTGTGTCTTCCCAGAACCAGCAAATGCCTGAAAGGAAGAGAGCAAGTTTCTCAGCTTCAGGCAGCAGCTACCCTCTCCAGATGGAAAGCTGCTCACCATACTACATTATCAGCTCAGTAGTGCGTTTGAAAGGTGGTCTTCTTGAGGCTGCTCTTGGCATGGGCGTGGACTTTAACAAATTGTTCCATCCTAACCAGAAATGGAAATTTGCCTGTGTAGCCTCCACCATGGTTCAGATTCCTATAGGGGTCCTTTGGAGTTCAGTACTAGCTAGGGCAAAAAGCCAAACACCAAAACTAGTATTTCAGATTTGTTTGGTCAGAAAAAGGAGCAAGTGAGTAATGCACTGGGAAATTATTCAATACACAGCTCAGTTTTTGCCTTAAATTTATGTCAGCTTTTTGTCAGAATTACTAATTATATTAAGAGTTTATATTTTCTCTATTGAGTATTGAATGTTTTCTTTTTTTTTAAAGGCAGTCTTGCTATATAATTCAGGCAGGCCTGAATTTATTCTGTAGCTCAGGCTGACCTCAAACTCACAATCCTCCTGCCTTAGACTCCTGAGAGCTGGGATTTTAGGGGTGTATTATACCATTTGGCAAACATTGTACATTTCAAGAAAATATTCAGGCAGAGGCTGTTTTTTTTTTTTTTTAAACCTCAAATTAGGACAAATATATGCTAAATTGTTACTGGTATTAGCATGTCATAAAGTAATCATTTGTAATTACAGAGAAAGTAATAAATACAATTGATTTTATGACCTACTCATGTCAGCTAAAAATACCTGATTTCTTTTTGTTACAGCGTGTCACTGTTTAGCACAGGCTGGTCTTGAACTCCAGATTCCCCTGCCTCTATCTCCCTAATGTTGGGATTCCACATTTGTGCTACCACACCAGCTACATTCTCCTTCTTGGTTTGACATAAGTAACAAAGTTTTATTTTTCTTAATGTAGGAAAAAATTATTCCATATTTATTACGACTTAGACAAATTAAGGATGAAACTCTTCAGGCTGCAGTTAGAGAGATGTTGGCCTTAATTGGTTATGTGGATCCAGTGAAAGGCAGAGGAATCCGCATCCTCACGATCGATGGTGGAGGAACAAGGTAAGGCTAGAGAAGTGGTGTTTACAACTACAGCTTGTTGCTCGAATCCTAAATGGTCTTATAATAAAAAACCCGGAGCCAGATACTGGTGTAAATGCTGAAAGATCAGAGAGACAAAGAACCAAGCCACTGCCATGTCTCACCTTACCAACTCCACAAATCATCTGTTTGAAAGCCTTTGAGTCCTCAGCCAAAAAAGCTCTCTAGCCAGAGGGTTTCAGTTCCTGTCTCCTCACGCCTTATATACCTTTCTCTGCCCAGCCATATTACTTCCTTCCTAGTGCTGGGATTAAAGACGCGTGTGCTTCCCAAATACTGGTAGCAGAGGTATAAGATCTCAAGTGCTGGGAATAAAGGTGTGTGACTCCCAAGTATTGGGATTAAAGGTGTGTGCCACTACTGCCTGTCTCTGTTTCTCTCCTAGACTGAATCAATCTCATGTAGTCCAGGGTGGATCTCTGTCTCCCAGTGCTAGAATTAAAGGTGTGTACCACCACTTCCTGGTATCTTTGTTTAATCTAGTGGCTTGTTCTGTTCTCTGATCTTCAGGCAAATTTTATTAGGGTACACAATATATCACCACAACAGATTTAATTCAGTTTTTGAGATTTTAATATAGTTATCATAAAATCAATTTTTTAAATTTTTATTTTTTGAAACAGGATTTCTTTGTAGCCTTGGCTGTCCTGGAACTCCCTCTGTAGATCAGGCTGGCCTCAAACTCACAGAGATCCTCCTACCCCTGACTCCCAATTGCTGGAATTAAAGGCATTTGCCACTACCACCCAGCCGTAAAATTGGTTTTTAAGTAAAGTATAAAGCCACTTTTACTTATGAACATAAAAGCTATATTGTGACATATATTTGGGTCACTTGTTATTTTGATTTAATCTCTTTTATATTGCAGATTTGGTCTTTAGGAGCTTACCAACCATTCTCTCAAAAATTTAACAATGTTTTTTTACCTTAATAGTGTGTTTATTAGGTGATGGTTAGAAGGGGTGTGTAGACCATCAAGTTGTTGCTTCTCCCTGTCTTCACTTGATGCCAGTTACGGTGCAATAGAAAACCTAAGAATAAATGCAGTCTTTGTTTAGTAGACAGTTTCACTGTCAGTCTTCAGTCTTCCTCTCCGCAACATTGTGCTTATTCTTTCATAGTTTACTCTGTCATGGTTTACCTCGTTTCTAGCCTTGTCTTTTGAACCTCTTCCCTAGAATTTTCTGTGCTAGGTTCTGTTTCCTTTGACTTTCCGCCTTACCTCTGATTTTACTATGTACTTGTGTACTGTTCAGCGTTCGAGCAGTGCCCCCTTTGTGGCATTTTACAGTTCTACCTGGCAAGTCCTTAGCATGGATATAAAGTGAGGCAGTAGATAAGAGAAGGAAACGAGTTTAGAGTCTAGGCATAAGACAGTTAATTACTAACCTTAGATGATGGTCAGTTCTGAAGTAGGAAGAAAAGATATTTAAGAAAATTTTGAAGAAAATGAGACTAGATATGGTAAAAATCAGTTAAGATAATTTTAAGTATAAACCCTGTGAGTGATGAACGGAATTGCCAAGACAAAGATGATTGGTATTGGAAAAGAGGTCTGTTTGAGCATGAATATAAGGTTACATATCTGTAAAGAGATGCTCAACTGTCATAAAAGACCCAACTGAAGAGAGAAAAGTCATAAGAGATTTTAATGGATATTTTGCTTTTAGAGTTACAGGGTTTAACCATAGCTCACGCTGGCCTCCAACTGTGATCCTCTTCACTCAGCCTTCTGGGAGCTAAGATTACATGTGTGCATCACCATACCCGGCCAGCATAGTGACTATTTAATGGGAAAGTGAAATAATCCAGTAAGGTGTTCTTTCTTCATGTGTTAATATAAAATAGTAATGAGTTGGAGAGAATTGTTAAACTTGACTGAGTCAGTCCCACTTTGTCATTAAGTTCAGGGGAGTTGGCATAGGTAGTTTCATTCATTGAGTTAGCTTGTTGAATGCCCCTGTTTTCTAGAAACTCATTTAGATATTGGAAACATTGAGTAGCAATACAGACAAAACTCATGTCTTGATAATGCTTGCATTCTAGAGGAGAAAAGAGATAAGCAGGAGAAATAACAATGTGCTTTTGGGTCTTTGTGAGTGCTCTGTAGGAAAGCAAAGCAAAGTGAAAGCAGGGGAAGAAACTTTATAATGATTGACTTCACATTAAAGAATTCGTATTTACCAGTCTGCAAGACTATTACAAGTCATTAACATTTCTGTTTAAAGTGAGAGCTACAGTATGTTGGAAGAGACATTAGCTATTCACTGCTGTGGGAGTGCAAACTGGTGTACTCGCTGTAGAAATCAGTATGGAGATTCCTAAGATAGCTAGAAATTGATCTGCCATATGATACAGCTATAGCACTTCTGGGCATATACCCCAAAGATACACAAAAGAGATACTTGTTCATCAATGTTCATTACTACTGTATTCACAATAGCCAGGAAGCAGAACAGTCTAGATGTCTACCATCTGATGATTAGATAGTGAAAATATCATAATATACAAATATAATTTTATTCAGCTGCAAAGATAACTGAAATTGTAATATTTGCTTATAAATGGATAAAACTGGAATGCTGAATGAGGAAACCCAAACCCAGAAATACAAGTGTCACATTTTCTCTCATATGTGGATTTTACGTTTGTGTTTTTAGCGTGGAGTACCTATAGAATCCAGGAAAGTAGAGATGGGCCATTTGGGAAGGGGAAGAGAGACCTTAAGGGAGGTTAGAAGAACACAGGTGACAAGTGTGAACCCAAATGGAATGAGGGTCCTGAGCAGCAAGGTGTCAAATGGGGGACCAGGGGTGAGAAATACAGAAGACAAAAGCAAAAGCTGGGACTAGGAGGTCTTGCATATGCTGATTGCTTCTGCCAAGCACAGTTACTAAGTACAGCACCCGTTAAGTACACTGTTAGCCGGGGGGAATGACCAAGGTCAACAGAGAGCTAAATCAAGACAGTTTTGGCAAAGAGAACACAGGATACCCTTAGACACTACAGCCCAGGAGGAAGAGTCCCATCCTCAGAAACGGAAACCTTGACTCCTTCAAGGCATAGCTCCAGCCTAAAACTGACCTTGCCAAGTCCAGTCCTGGAGAAGGACACAGAACGAAAGTTCTCTTTGTCTTTTCGTTGGGGCCTCTGAGAAAGTCTTGAGTTAGTCTGGCTCCACACAGTAGGGGATGGGAGAGTAGGTGTAGCTAGAGTTTTCCTGCCTGGCCCACAGTCAGGACAAATCTCTCTCACCCGCCAGTCCCAAGCCGCTCAAACCCGATCAAGTAAACACAGAGACTTATATTGGTTTCAAACTGTATGGCCGTGGCAGGCTTCTTGTTAACTGTTCTTACAGCTTAAATTAATCCATTTCTATTAATCTATACCTTGCCACATGGCTCGTGGCTTACCGGTACTTCACATGCGGCTTGTCATCATGGCGGCTGGCAGTGTCTCTCTGACTCAGCCTTCCACTTCCCAGCTCTATTCTCCTCCTTGTCCCGCCTATACTTCCTGCCTGGCCACGGACCAATCAGTGATTTATTGGGGGTTTTTTCTTAATAAATAAATGGTAGCTTGAAATTCTGACTAGTGAAAAATAACTAAAAATATATAGGATTATAGCTGACCAACTATATTAATAAAAGAAGAAAACAGTTTACAGTACCTCAGAACCATTGAGGATGATTTTTTCAAGTGTTTTACAGAATTGAGGTTTTTAAAAATCTAATATTGGTATATTTTTATATTACTTAAAAACAATACTACACATGTGTTAGTATGCTGCCATTGTACAGGCTTTATATTTGTATTTTGAAGTGATCCTAAAATTTGGTCAGATGATTATTTTTATTTTATTAGCATTTATTAATTGTACAAAATAATGGGATTCATTATGGTATGTTATATTTGTATATAATATACTTTGAACATCTTCAATTTCCTGTTATATGGTACCCTCTTCCTCTACCTCATTCATTAACTCTTGTTTTCTCTTCTTTTTCTTATTAGGTCAGATTGTATTTATTTGTACTAGTTTGTATTATGTTTTCATGTTAGCATATAAACTGTAAAAGCAGTTTTATAAAATTGTTTTATTCTATAACTTGAGTTTCCCTTGAAACAAATTATCAATTTGTGCTTTCTTTTTCACAGAGGTGTGGTTGCTCTTCAGACTCTGCGGAAGTTGGTTGAACTTACTCAGAAGCCAATTCACCAGCTCTTTGATTACATCTGCGGTGTAAGCACAGGTAGTTATCGTGTGTGTGCGTGGGTGTGTTCCACCCTTGGATTACAGCGAGAGGTGAAGCACAGGCTTGAGATCATGGGCCTTCTCTGAAATGACGGCATTAATTTCACAACTTTAATGAGGAATAACCCTTTATGTCATGAACTTTTAAAACTGCTTATTGTTTAAACATGTAACCTTTTACAATCAAGCATTTAAGAATGACTTGTTTTTATTATATTTTCAACAAGTCACATTGACAAGGAATAATTCCTAATTCCTGCTCTTTGGTGTAGTCGCTGTAAGGAGATGATGGCAGAAGGAGAAGGGGTAGGTAGTCCGACAGTCCTTGAGCTAGTGTGAAATTAAAGGTGGTAAAAGCTTTGTTTGTTTGTAGGATGTCAATGAGTAACTTGATCCCTATATTATTTATATGGTGGTTTGAAACAGAATTTAAAGTGACAAATGTGTCTTTGGTTTTGAAAAGCTACTTTTAAGTATTGTCCGTTGGTAGATGTATGAAATGGAGGTTTTATGTTTGTGTCGAAGAATTTTCCTTGAAGTAATTGTTAACTTACTCCTTGACTCAGTTTCTCACTTTAGTGTGCTCTTCACAAGGTTTTTATCTGTCAGTGCTTCATTCTTCGAATTATGTTAACTGTAAAGATCACTGCAAACAACCGGAGATTTCCCTGCATGATTAGTGTTAAGAATGGCGCATTCCCAGAGTGCATGCTAATTGTTGCCCAGTTGCAAAGACTGAATGGCAGAACTGCGGCAAGAATGACTCATGGGATGACACTCTGGAGTAAGGAAGCAGAAGGTTTCAGGTGTTAGCAAGCGTGGAGAATGATGACTAGAAGAAGAAAAGAACATTTCTCTGCAGAGGTCTCTTAGGATGTTACATTAAACATGGTTTTTTTCTTGTAGATTTCTTTTAATGTGTTAACATGTACTGTGACTTAAAACACGAAAATAAAGTACATATCCAAAGGTAATTGATTTGACTGAAAGCTTCTCGAAGAGACATTTCCTCAGACTAGCATTGTTTGTTTTGAAGTATTCCCCATTTCTCTTAAATTTGGAATGGCCCTGGCAATTAAACATCTGAAGGTGGCTACAAACTCACTTCTTGCTTTGGCTCTTGCTGGATGACTGCCAGAGTTGAGCCCCTCAGCTCAGTGATGTCATGACGTAGCATTGTGTAACCAGTTCTGTGTCTGTAGCATTTCTATGCAAGTGCTTCATAATTTATCTTCTTTTTCCATTTTGTTTATTCCTGAATTGGTTTTATCTCTGATTTTTAAGAAGTTAACAAATGCGTATTTAGTTTAAGGGTGGTGTCCTTACTAGCTTAATGAAATTAGTTCATTTTTAAAATATCTCCTAGTCTTTATAGTAATTCTTTTTAAAAAGAAAAGCACTTTCCTAGCACTAGGGAGGCAGAGGCAGGAGGGATGTCTATGAGCTTGAGGCCAGCCTGGTCTACATAGCAAACTCCAGGACAGTCAGCACTATATAGAGAGACCCTGTCTTTAAAAAAATTATTTGAAATTTTTTTAACAAATTATTTGTTATGTTTATTAAGGATATTCTCCAAATTAAAGATTTTTTTATATAGTTTGAGCCATAACATTGTATTTTCAAGTTATCAGTTATCTAATCTTTTACTAGAATGATACCAATTAAAATCAAATGAATAAACTTTTCAGGGCTGGAAAGATGGCTTAGGGATTAAGAGAACACTGTCTAAATTCCTACAGGACCAGGGTTCGATTCACAGCCATCTCTAACTCCAGTTCCAGGAGATCCAGTGCCCGTTTCTGAACTTCGTGGGCACCAGGTACACATGTAGTGTGCTGACTTAAGTGCATTCAGAACACTGATACATAACAAATACAAAAACTTTAAAACTAGAAAACATTTAGACTATATTGTTGTTTATTTCTTTATAGGTTAAGTAGTTAAGCAGGTCTTTGCCTGTATTACTCCTCTTACCCCAACACTCCATGTTCCTCTTTAGTTCAGTTAGGCAAAGTAGAACCACTGGGTGGCAGTGTGTCCTACCAGTTACACCTGGTACATAAAATGGTCTATTTAAAAGAACGTCCTAGAATATTTCGTTTCTTTCATCACATTGATTCTAGGACCTAACTCAAGGAGCAGCTGCTTAATGAGTTTATGAATTCTCAAATACACATTCTTTTACTTGCCATTTCATCTTATATATGATCTAATCTAGTATAAAACAACATTTTGATACATTTTTAAATTACTGTTGTTGTCATCTTGAAGTCAATGATACCTTTCAATGTCATCTTTTGGGACCTGGAAAGGCCTTTTACATGTATTAGTCAAGTATAAGGGACTTATAAATTATAGTTCTTATTTATACCCATTTCACAGATGGAAAACTTAGGACTCTGAGAAGTGATTTTAGAAAGCATCAGATCTAGAGTTTCAGCAACTTGGTGGCTCAGAGTCATGTGTGATTGTAAGAGCAGTTACATCACTACTGATAAAGACCAAGAATGTTCTTTCCAGGGGCTATATTAGCGTTCATGCTGGGATTGTTTCACATGCCGCTGGACGAATGTGAGGAACTCTATCGAAAGCTGGGCTCAGATGTGTTCTCACAGAACGTCATTGTCGGGACCGTCAAAATGAGTTGGAGCCATGCATTTTATGACAGTCACACGTGGGAAAAGATCCTTAAGTGAGTTTCAATTCTTTTGAAAATATTTTGGTTATATAGTTTATGCATACTAAAATTTGAAAACTACAGGAAATACAAAGAGTAATATTATTCCCACTAATTGGAAATAACCACTATTACTGTTTTGGTGAGCCATGTTCTAATCACAGATTCTTGAGTTTGTGTGTATAAGATCTGCATGTACAAATTATAATTACCGTTTTCGGAATGTGTAAGAAAGTGTGTATTTTCATCTATATGCATGTTTATGTGTGTGTGTGTGTGGGGGGGGTTCATGCACATGTGTATGTACATGCAAGTGGAAGCCAGAGGTTGATGGTAAGTATCCTCCTTGGTCACTCCACTTTATCATTTATTTATCTATCATTGTGCGTCTGATGTGTGGGCATGCATGTGCTATGGCACACACGTGGAGGCCAGAGGACTACTCTGTGGAGTCAGTTCTCTTCTTCCACCTTTTCATGGAGTCTAGGGATTGAAGTCAGGTGGCCAGGCTTGGGAAGCATTTGCCTTTACCCACGGAGCCATCTTCCCAGCCTACTTTATTTTTGGAGACAGGGTTTTTGACTAAACCTGGAGGTCATCAATTTGGCTAAACTGACAGGTCAGCAAGCCCCAGGGATCCACCTGTCTCTATCTCCCCATCGCTAGAATTATAGGTCCACCCCTGGCTTATGGGTTCTGGGACCTAAACTCAGGTCTTCATGCTTGAGGGCAGGCATTTTATAGGTGGAGTCCTCTCCTTAGCCCTTAATAAGCACCTTTTTTAAAACTATGAGGACATGTTGTGCATAGATTGTATGTTTATTCTGCTATTTTTCTTTAATGACTTACAGTTTTTTCTTAAGTCATTACTCTGAAACAGACAGTAATATTCAAATTCCTTCCAGATGCAATAAAATCAAAACTAGAAATGCAAAGTAGACATTTAAATCATCTTAAACATGTTATTGAAAGCTGTGGAACTTGTAATATATTTAGTGTTTTCTTGATTAGATTTGTGTGTGGACTGTGAGTGAATGTTTGTGTGTGTGGTGTACATGTGTGGGTTCATGCATACAAATGTGTGCAAGTGCAGGTGTAGGTCAGAGGTCAATCTCCAGTGTCATTCCTCAGGCACCTTCCACCCTTTGCTTGAGACCGAATCCTCTCATTGGTTGGAGCTTGGCAAGAAGGTTAGGCAGGTTGGTCCTGAAGCTCCAGGGATCCACCTGTCTCCACCTCTCATCTCACCATTCCTAGAATTACAGGCAAATGCCCAGCTTTCTCATTTGAGTTCTGAGGATCCAAACTCAAGTCCTGATGCTTCACCCACTGAGACATCTCCTTAGCTCATTGTGTTTTTTCCATATATGTTGTATAGCTAAAGTTATTCTATACTTGTAAATTTGTATCCTTTCCCTTGTTTTCAATTTTATTAAAACTAGTAGCACCTTTGAAAGACTACACTGTATTTCAGAGTGGTAGTATCATATTTTCTTAACCATCTAGATATTTATGAACATTTACAAAATTTATAGTTTTCTTTGTATGGTAAAGAACTAAATTTAAACTTCTGCCAACATTTCAGAATGTATCAGTCTTGTTAAATTATAGGAAACATACTCATATCTCATTTGTTCAAATGCTGTTTTTTTTAAATAATGAAACATTAAAGAAAACAACAAAAATAACCTATAATCCCACTAAGAACAAAAAACTTTAAACATTCCTATTTAGAACTTATAGCCAAATGAGTGTATGCTTGTGTTCATTTGAGTGTGTATTCCTCCTCCCCACAATAGAGATGATCATGCATGTATCCTGCACTTCCACTTAGCATCTGTTACAAGTGATCTGTCATTAATATATTTTGAAAGCATTTTGAATAGTTGCTCACTATTCATTTTATGACTGTATTATTTTTGGCTTAACGTATTTCCTTTTCGAAAAGGACACTTAAGGTGTCTTATTTTTGTAGTTCACAAATGGACATGGACATCTTACATATCAACTTAAGTCTTCTGATAACTTTAAGGAAAATCCTAGACATAAAATCTGTGTCAGAAATGTTATACATGTTTTAAAAGTCTTGAAAAAAAAGAGCACATGAATTTGGAAGGGAAAAGTCATGGTAGGGAGAGGGAAGGCATTGGAGGGCAGGGAATGGGGGTAGATTTGATCAAAACACATGATCATAATGCATGAACGAATGAACTTCTCAAACAATAAGTCTTGAGATATATGTGTGTATATGGCTGAATTGTTCTTAAAAAATAGGCTCCTGACTTATTCATCAGTCCCCATCAGTTTTCTATTTTATGAAATATTTTAAAATACCAACTAATTTAAGTTGTAAAATATATGAGTTTGAGATTTTTTTAGTGAACATGAACCTTCTTTATAATTTTTATTACATTCTTTTTGTGAATTTTATGGATATGATATTTTGCTCATTTTCCTATCGGGCAGTGCCCACTGTGAATTCATTAACCATATATTGAAAAAATGTGTTAATTGTTGTTTACATTTATTTATTGTGTATATCTGTGTTTGGGTTTTCATGCCACACTGTTTTCTCTACCTGTGGTTTCCTGCAGTTAAACTTAGATCATGATGCTTGACAACAAGCATGCTTATCTGCTGAACCATCTAATGGGTCCAGAATACTTTTTTTTTTCTTTTAAGAACATACTTTATTTATTCCTATTTTCTTTTTAATGGTGTGGTGTGGTTTTTGTTGTTGTTTGGTTGTTTGGTTGGGTTTTTTTGCAGGAGAGGACTATGTCTAAGTTTACTTTCTATTGCTGTGATAAAGCATCATTAACAAAAGCATCTTGGGAAGGAAAGGGTTAATTTGACTTACCCATCCCAATCACATGAATGAAAGTCAGGACAGGTACTCCAGGCTGGAACTGAAGCAGAGGCCATTGTGGAATGCTGCTTACTGGCTTGCTTGCTCACTCAGCCTGCTTTTTTATACAATCCCAGACCACCTGCTCAGAGTGGTCTGGGCCCTCCCACAGCTATCATTAACCAATAAAATGCCCCACAGACTTACCTACAGGCTAATCTGATAGAGGCGTCTTTTTAAATTAAAGTTCCCATCCTTCCCAGATGATCCTAGCTTGTATCAAGTTAGTATTAATCACATATGTATAAGCAGGTACCCTTTTGTGCACATACAGAGACCAGAAGACATTGGCTACCCCCCTCTGTGATCTGGTGTCTTATTATATTACTCTCCACCTTATTTTTTGAAACAGGGCACCTCACTGAACCTAAAGGTTGCCATTTTGGCTAGACTAGTTGGCCAGTGAGCTCCTGGGACCCACCTGTCTCTGTCCCCGATGCAGGATGACAGGCATGTGTGACCATGTCTCACTTTTATGTAGATGCACAGGAATTGAGCTCATATCCTCTTGATTTCACAGCAGGTGCCCTGCCCTTTCCCACTGAGATGTTTCCCCAGCCTCAAGAAATATTTTTAGTGAGTGATATTTTTAATACAGTGGATTTACAAATGTTCATTTAACCATGTTTTTCTTAATGATTTTTAACTTTGTTTCGATGCCCATGAAATTACTTTCTACCCAGAAATCAAGTAAATAATTGTTATTTTTAGTCTAGTGGTAAGCTTTTAAGTAAATTGTCTATCTGAAAATGATCTTGAAGTGGTAGTCAAGCTTTGTTTTTTAGTCATTTCAACCATCCAAGTTTACTTTTTTGTTTCCTTTTTTATTTATTAAAATACCACATTACATCACAGTCTATGTTCAAATTTTTTTCCTGTTTTTTTTTGTTCAACATCTATAGATTTTTAATTTTTAATGAAATAAATAATTTCCCCTCTTTCTCAGAAATGCATTAACTCTTCTTACTCAATCTTCAAAATGAGTCTTAAGCTCCTTTTGTCACACTAAAAAGATTCCATGGGAAATTATGTTGGAATTATCAGTTATAGCATGGCATGTATTTACATCCTTCAACTTATGAAGTCACCCTACCCATTATTGCAGGTTAAATGTTATTTCCTGGTCTTCTGATACTTCTAGGAAGGAATAATTCATATCATTTCTCATGAAGTCATAATACTATGTAAGATGTTTCAATAAATGTTTAAAATTATAAAGCCAACTGATGTACCATCAAATGCTCTTTTATTTTGTAACTACTGAGCATGTCTTCATAAATTCGCATAATATGTCATTGCTGTGTGGTATGTATTAATTGCATTTAAGTCTCTTGGAGGTTTAAAGTTCTTTTTTGTCTATTGTAGCACTATAAGAAAGCTACAGGCAAGTGTATAGTCCTTGATTGTAAAGAGATAAAATAGTTTTGATATAACTCACGTATTCTTGTTCCTTAATAAAGGGATAGAATGGGATCTGCACTAATGATTGAAACAGCGAGAGACCCAAAATGTCCTAAGGTGAGTCTGAGATCTCTTAGGTAGACTGTACAGAAAATATGTATTGTGAGTAGTCACAACAAGGAGAAGCATTCTGGGTAACTTCCTTTAATAGATGTTCTTGATTCCTTATCTGTAGGTCATTCTATTAAAATTCAGCATATAATCATTAGATTGTATCTGTATGTAGTAAAAGTATAATAAAGGTTTACAAATATGAATTGTGACTGAAAATACAGAATATTTTATCATAATTAATTTAACAAAGTCTAGTGATTTAAGGAAAATTATTTTCTACCTTAGGTTTTTTTTTTAAAAGATTTATTTATTTATTATGTATACAGTGTTCTGTCTGCTTATACACCTGCAGGTCAGAAGAGGGCACCAGATCTCATTATGGATGGTTGTGAGCCACCATGTGGTTGCTGGGAATTGAACTCATGACCTCTGGAAGAGCAGCCAGTGCTCTTAACCTCTGAGCCATCTGTCCAACCCTACCTTAGGTTTTTAAAGAGAAGTTGTATATAATATATAAAATCAATAGGACTACATTAACATACAAATGGAATTCCAGTTTTTAAAAATTGAGTCATTTAGGTATGTTTCTATGTAGCTCTTCATTTATTGATTTGTTTGGAACCCCACAATCTGAAATTGCTTTAGCTTGCTTTTAACAGTAGTTGTTTGATTGAGGATTATAATTGATGTGCCTAGGAATCCCATATGGCTTGTATTTATTTATTCTTGAGCAGCAAGCTGTAAGAATGCAAAATCAAGACACCACTTTCTCTCTTGTTCTTTTAATGTCATCACTTTTCATACCTTCATTTTGTGAATGATCTGTGCCTTTGTGGCGACACTGAATTTGTGCAGGATAATGCTATGGCTTTACTAAAATCATAATGCTTTCAAAGCACATAGAAACAAAGACTATTTGTAAATATACTGTATTAATCTTTAGTGGTTTTTACTGATGATAATATTGTATTAGTTATTACTTTAGAATAATAAAGTAAGCTAGACACTTAAGTAGAATGATAGGGCTGCGAATTTTTTACTTAATGTGACTATTAAGTAAATAATCTCACAAATGAAGTAGTTTCCTGAAATGGATACTGTGGAACACACTAGCTGTTCTCTGAAAGCATACATTTCAAGGGATGTAAGGAAGGCTACTTTGTGAGACCTCATTGTGAAGGCTAATAAGTAGGAGCATTCCTGGCAAAAGGACAAAGAGAATGGTCTATGCAGGGCTCAAAGAGAATTCCAGGAACTGCAAGCCTTCCTGAAGACTAGGGCCCAAGGATCTGAGGGCAGCATGTGGGATGAGACTGGAACAGTAGGCAGATGAGATCACACACTGGCCTTGAAAGCCACGACAAAGAGATGACTCCATTCCTTGGGAGAGGACCCTAGGATGTTTTTTGTTTGAATATTTGCTTCCAAATTGTGGAAATTGTCAACTTTCGGTAAAGGAATAGATGTGAACATGAGGAAACTTGAGCCCTATCCAAGGTTCTTTGTTGTAATAAATAGAGCAGTTACCCATAGGGTTTTTCGTCCTCTTTTCTCTGTACCTAAGTTATAGAAAGACCCTCCGAATTTTAGTAGCTGGCCAGCTGGTACCCAAAGATGCCAAGAGTCGTGAATTACAGAAATTGAGGATAGGGCCTTTCTTTACTAAATGAGAAAGCAAACAGGCTCCTGGCAGGGCTTGGCACAGGATAGAAAAACTTTGGCCTGTAATTTGAAAGCTTTGAGAATTTGTGCAGAGCTATGCTCTGGCTTTACTAAATGACAATTTTTCTTTTTCTCCATTTTCTTTCCTTGAAAGAGTCTTTTCTCCTGCAATATATCCTGATTACAATTTCCCCTCCCTCTCTTCCTCCCAATTTCTCCATACCTCCCCTCCCTTCTGGATCTACTCCCTTTCTGTCTCTCATTAGAGAATAACAGACTTTTAAGAGTATAACAAAATAAAATATAATAAGGAGCCGGGCGGTGGTGGTGCACACCTTTAATCTCAGTACTCGGGAGGCAGAGCCAGGCGAATCTTTGTGAGTTCAAGTCTAGCCTGGTCTACAAAGTGAGATCCAGGACAGACTCCAAAGCTACACAGAGAAACACCCCCCCCCTCTCTCTCTCTGTATATATATATATATATATATACACACACACACATATATATATACACACATATATATATACACACATACATATATATATATATATATATATATAGGCAAATTCCATTACATCTAGGCTGAATAAGCCATCCCAACAGAAGGAAAAGAGCCCCAAGAGCAGGCACAAGAATCAGAGACCCACTCATTCAAGTACTCAGTAGTCTCATAAAAAAAATACTAAATTGAACACTATAATATCTACGGAGGATCTGGTACAGACCATGTAGGCCTTGCTGTGACTTTATATGAGCTTTGCTAAATTGACTCAAAGAGCCTTATTCTCCTAGTTTCCTCCATCCCCCTCTGGCTCTTATATTCTTTCTCCTCTGTTTACCACTCTAGTTGGTGGTGGGACCTGGGAGAATGAACCTTGGAAATGAGGCAGACTAAAATCTCATGCAATAGCCAACTTTATTCAGAGCATCAGACAGTTTGTAACTGAGGGTTAAGAAAGGTCTCCTGAATAAAGTTCTCATGAGTTCAAGGTGTATATAATCACAAAGACAAGCTGCACGTGGCAAAAATATGTTTTTCCTTAGAGACATATAAACAAATAATAACCAGTTGTAATGAATAATCCCAAGTAAACTCACTCCTATCCACTACACTGGGAGGGGCACATAAGCACATCCAGGAACAACCCATGTTATGGAGGAACAGAGATTGCAAGACTCTTGTCTTGTTTACTTGGAGTTTTCTCACAAGGCCTCAGAAATTACCTTACTCAGCTTCATTCATGGACCATGTTTCAATGCCTCCTCTTCTGAGGGATTCCTGAGCTCTGAGATTTGATGGAGACATCCCATTTAGAGATACGGTTTCTAAGGACTCTCACTCTGTCTAATGTCTGGCAAGGGTCTGCATCTTTTCCTGTCTGCTTCAGGAGGAAGCTTCTCTGGTAATGACTGAATAAGGCATTGATCTATGAGTATAGCAAAATATGATTAGGTGTCATTTTTTGATACTTTTTTCTTTAAGACCAGTAGTCTTTGGTTTTACTCTAGGTCTGTGGACTATCTAGTCTCTGGTACTCGATCAACCAAGCAGTGAAGGATGTGGATTCTGTCTCATGGAGTGAGCTTTAAGTCAAATCAGACATTGGTTGGCTACTCCCAAAAGTTCTGGGACACCATTGCCCTAGCATATCTTGCAGGCAGGACAGATTGTAGTTCAAATGCTATAGGCTCGGTTAGTGTTTACCTTTCTCTTTTGATAGCCTGCAGAGTACCTTCCCACACCAAAGACACCAGAACATAGGGGTCAAGGCTCCATGTAGGCATCAGTTCAGCTGCTCCATGTTCAGTGAGTTGTGTGGGTGTTGTCCTTTTCAAAGTCCGCTGCTGTCAGTTTGGGGAGAGCAACCCATTGTCTTAGCAACAACCTGGATTGCTTGGGGATTTCCATGGGACCCCTTTGGCCAACAATTCAACTGAATGCAACCCAATCCCAGTACTGGAGTCCTCATTTGGTGACTTGAGAGGGCCAGTTGGGACATCATATTCCCCATTATTAGGAGACCTCATTAGGATCGCCTTCATATATTTTAGGAAGTTTCCATTGCACTAAGTTTCCATGTCATCCCTTAAATGTCCCTCAATTCCATCTGTTTCTCCTCACATTCCTTCCCTTAACCCTTTCTCCCCTCCCTCTCCTTACTTGATTCCCCCATTCCCATCCTCACCTGCCCCCACCGTACCCATAAAATCTATCCCCCTCCCAGGGAGATCCATGTGTCTCCTCAGTCCTTTCCTCTATAACTTATCTCTCAGGGTCTATGGATTGTAGGGTGATTATCATTAACTTAATGGCTAATATCCACTTATAAGTGAATACATGCCATATTTATCTTTCTGGGTCTGGGTTAACTCATTTGGTGTGTTTTCTTCTAGTTCCATCCATTTGCCTGCACATTTCCTGGTGTCATTTTTTTAAACAGCTGAGTAATACTCCATTGTGTAAATGTACCATATTTTCTTTATCCAGTCTCCTTTTGAGGGACATCTAGGTTGTTTCTAGTTTCTGGCTGTTATGAATAGAGCAGCAATGAACATGGCTGAGCCAGTGTCCTTGTGATATAATGGAGCATCCTTTGGGTATATGCCCAAGAGTGGTGTAGCTGGGTCTTGAGGTAGATCGATTTCCAACTTTCTGAGGAGCCAACATATTGATTTCCATACTGACTATGATGGAATTTCAATGTATTTTTGTGAAATTGTAATATTTTCAAAACACATAAAAACAGAGTAATTTGTAAATGACATTGAAATACTACATTTGTTGGTCTTTAAGTATTTGCTAATTGTTGACACTGTTGCATTAGTTATTACTTTAGAAATGTGTACAATACTAAGTTCTTTTAAGTAAAGTCATACACTCAAATGCATCTTTTATTATTGTTCTCATCTAATATATCTCAAAATTGTATCATAGCTTATATCTTTTTTACCTTTGTTTCTCTCATAACAAATGTGTAGTTTCTTTGAGTATTTTGTGTTACACACTGATCTTGTTGGTCTTGTGGATATATATAACTAATAGTATTCAGCTGGCCATGGCAGTTCAGATGTGTAATTGCAGCACTCAAGAAGGTGAGGCAGGAAAATTGCTATAAATTCAAGGCTAGCCTAAGTTTCATGGTAAGTTTTGGACCAAGCAAGGCTGCAGAATGAGGTTCCCTGCCTTTAAAAAAATTAATGAATAATGTAAATAGTATTTAGTTTTTAGAGATTCTAGACACTGTAGTTAATAGTCATATTGTTTACTTTTTAACTCTCTAGGTAGCTGCTGTAAGTACCGTAGTAAACAGAGGACAAACACCCAAAGCCTTTGTGTTCAGAAACTACGGTCATTTTCCTGGCGTCAACTCGCACTATTTAGGAGGCTGTCAGTATAAAATGTGGCAAGCCATTAGAGCCTCCTCAGCTGCTCCAGGCTACTTTGCAGAGTATGCGCTGGGCAATGATCTTCATCAAGTAAGTCGATATGTGGCTGTCTTTAAAACCTGTAAGTACTTGAGTCTGCACTAGAGCAGGGAGGGGGTGTGTGGGAGGGTTTTGAGGGAGGAAAGAGAAAGAGGAATATTACAGTCTCAAAAATCAAAAAAAATTTAAGTCACCATTTATTAAATACCACTGAACTTCACAAGGATCAACAAAGAGAATTCCTTCGTGTTTTCACATATGTCAAAAGATGTGTAATTCAAGACACTTTAATTGTTTTATTTTGTTTTTTAATAAGCCTTCTGATTTGAGAATTTGGAAACTTGAAAGTTAGGAAAACTTTTTCTATTCTATATTGTGTGGTTGATAGACACAGTACCTGTGTTGATGGAAAATGAGATTGTGTGCATAAACTGTATGCCAACATGATGAAAATTGATAGATTTCCTGCAGGTGCAGGTCATCTATGTGACAGTTTTGGAGAGAGAACTCTGAAGGCAAGCAGATTGTCACATAATAGTAAGCACTCACTAAGCTAGTTCTGAGCTAGACAGTGCTTCACATGTAAGGTCTCATTTATTACTTGTTGCTTCATAGGAGACAGAGCTGTTTCCATTTTACAAATAAGAAATTAGAGTCTTCAGAATTGTTACGAGATAGACCAGAGACAAAGCCACAAGTTACAGGATGCTGTCTTTAACTATACGGTTTCAAGTTTATGGTTGAATTATCTGGAAAGTTGAATATTGCTGATAATTCTTTATCTCTATAGGTTCATTTACTTATTCCTATGTCCAGTTTTTCACACTGTATAAAAATCTGAATTCATAGCTTATACTAAATAGTAAAATTAAAGCAGATTAAAGCTTTTGAGCTAACACTTCCAGCATATGTATTTTTATAAAGGCTAAATTTTCTTGTGGCTTCTCACTTAAAATCAGTCTTAGTTGAAGGAATCATGAATTCTGACTTTCCTCTCTAAACATTGAAATATATGCATACTCTTTATGATAATCAGTTGTAAGAAAAAAGTCTAATATTACTGGCAAGAACCTCCAGATAGCATTCAAAGCCCATGCATAGATCTTCTGTATGTCTGTTGGCTATATAAACTTGAAAACTTCCTTATAGAATATTATAGTTTACATCTATCAGGGTTACAAAATTTAAACTATTTTTCTCGGTTTTATTTTACATTTTGATAAAATAGCATTCTAAAATGTTGGTCAATTATCCTACATTCTTTTAGTTTTTAGAAGTAATATAATCTTTGTAGTTAAAGCACAGTTCTTTTATCTTTATAATCTTTCCAAACTATTTATTTTGAATTATAAAAAGCACTTCCCCTTCTGTTTTTTTTTTTTCTTCTACTCCATCAGGGCTAGTCTTGAGGGTATTTTTGTTTCTGATACTGATTCAAGATTTATTAACCAGATACAATTTTTATATTAATATGTATTTTTCTGTCCATATCAATAACTTCCTCCTTTCTTATATTATTCTTACTGTATTTAAATAAAAAATAATATAATATTTATAAATTGTAACTTTTAATATAATCATCATATTTCAGGCTGCCAATAAAAAGTCACATATACACAGAAATGTTCTCATTATCATCTCTTCCTCCCTCACCCCCATCTTACTATGTAGCCAGGACTTAGAACTCACTGGACATTCCAGGCTGGCCCTGATATCACATTCCTCCCACCTCAGCTTTTATTTTTATATAAGGGGAAGCAGGTTTAATGTTCCACTAACTAAAGTGCTTTAGTCATTTCTTTTCTATTTTACATAGACTAGTAATATTTCTTTTTATGTTTGACCATTTTTATACTGATGACTATATTCTCTCAATTTATTTTGAGCTACTGATAAAATAACTAACCAGTGGACTCCAGAAGCAATGACACATTTATCTTAGGAAGAATATTCAAATGGAATCTAATATAAGACCCTACTTAAGTAAACATTTTATTTTAGTTTCCTTTTGCAAATCTTGAGGAAGAAATAGGATAGTTATTTCCTCAAAAGATAAAAATATTTTATTCTGATATATGAATGATCTTGACTGCCTAAACAAAAGAAAACTTGGAAGTAAGTAATGTTAGTCTCTGTCTCTTTCTTAACCTTTAGAAGCTGCCAAAGATAACATTAAAATATGGTACTTCTATAAATTTCTCATAATAAAGTCTTTAAATTTATATTGTTATTTATAATCTCATTTAAAAATAGCCGTTAACTGTCATGTCTACAGGTATCTCATTTTGGTTCCTTCATATCCTTTTGGAGGCAGGTAGAATATAAATTATGGAGTGGGATGTGGTGTTGCCAGCCTTCAATCTCAGTATTTGGAAGGCAAAGGCAGGTGGATATCTGTTAGTTCAATACCAGCCTGCTATACATAGCAAGTTCCAGGACAGCCAGAACTGCACAGTAAGACCCTGGGGTGGTGGTGATGGAGGGCGTGAGGGAAGAGAGGGGAGGATGGGAGTTGAGAAAGAGGGGAGAGGGAAGAGAGAGAGAACAAATATAAATTATGGATTAATATTCTATTTGGACAGTTGCTAGAAATATTGCTATGCTTATGAGCATTAAATAGATGATTAAAATTTAATTTGCCTTTGACTCCAAAAAGAATAATTATGGCACTCACAATTTGTATTACTTGCTCTGGAAAACTGTGTTTTAGTTTTATGTCAACACAGGCTACAGTCATTTATGAAGAAGACATCTTAATGCCCCCATTGGAGTGGTCTGTAGGAAAGTCTATAGGGCATTTTCTTGATGATTCATCAGTTGTCATCATATAGAATATTATTTTAAGGTGTGTTACTTTTGTTTATATTGCATTTGTTTAACTCCAAGAAGCTGTGTTACTGTGCCTGTCTAAAACACCTGATGGTCTAATAAAAGAACTGAATGGCCAATAGCAAGATAGGAGAAAGAGGTGGGGCTGGCAGGCAGAGAAAATACATAGAAGGAGAAATCTGGATGGAGGAGAAAAAGGAAGTAGCCAGAGAAGGATGAGGACTTCAGGGACCAGCCACCCAGCTACACATAAAGCCACAGAGTAAGAGTAAGATTTACAGAAGTAAGATAACGGGAAAAGCCCAGAGGCAAAAAAGGTAGATAGGATAAGTTAAGAAAAGCTGGCTAGAAACTAAGCCAAGCTAAGGCCAGGTATTCATAATTAAGAATAAGCCTCCATGTGGGATTTATTTGGAAACTGGGTGGCAGGCTACCAAAAAAGAGCAAAAACAAACAACACTATCAAGCTGGGAAGAGTAAACCATTCCCTCCCCAAGTTACTTTTGGTAATGGTGTTTTATCACAGCAGTAGAAACCCTAAGACAAAATTAAAACAGGCAGTATTCTTTCTGACTAGCTTAAGTCACTTTTTTGTCAGAAAGTAACATAGTATTTACCTTTTTTTCATAGTTTTTATCTTGAAGTAGTACTTTTCACACAAAATTACTCTATCTCATCTTTTTTCAGCAGCCCTACTTACAAAATTAAATTGTTAACTTCCCATCTTTGGTAAAAAAAAAATAAAATCTTGATACATCATTATATTAGGGTTCTCTAGAGTAAGAGAACTTATAGAGTGAATTGATAGATAGATAGATAGATAGATAGATAGATAGATAGATAGATAGATAGGAGAAGAAAGAAAGAAGGGAGATTTATTGGACTAACATACAGACTGTGGTTCAGCTAATCCAACAATGACTACCTATTAGTAGAAGGTCCAAGAATCCAGTAGACTATGCTCAGTCAGCTGAATGTCTCAGCTCATCTTCAGTATACATCAGAATCCCAAAGAAGTAATCTGTAAAGCCAGTGAAGGAATGGACTTGCTAGCAGGCAAAGAGCAGAAACTTTCTTCTACCATGTCCTTATATAGGCTTTCAGCAGGCAGCATGGCCTAGATTAGAGACTGGTCTTTCCACCTCAAAAGATTTTGATTAAAGATGTTTCTCCCTAACTCAAAGATCCAGATTAGAAGTGGATCTTCCCACTTCAAATGAAGCAAAAAATCCCTCATAAGTCTGCTCCATTTTGGGGTTTTAGTTAATTCCAGATGTATGTAGTCAGATTGACAACCAAGAATAGCCATAATAATCATCTTAAACTAATTTGGGGGTTGCGGTTGCTGAACCTTATGCTTGCTAAATGCCTGTTGTAGCACCCCAGCTTCTGCATTTTGATGACACATTCTAATATATTACTCCTCTTGGGCTTTATTTACGTTTTTAAAAGGTTGGGTTCAGAGCCTATAATAATAAAAATGTGGTGAAATTTTATCTTTATCTTAAAGTCTTGAGCAGAAAGAACATACTTCATATCAACCATGTTATGCTTGTGTCAGTCCATAGCAATAACTGTCACTAAACTAGACAGAATGTAATGCTGACTCAGTCCCAGGCACTGTGCTAGCTAGGAAGACTATGTACGTTTTTAGCAGTAGCTGGCATACGGTTTGAGCTTCATGGATCCTGCTAAAAGGCATACCTGAATGCAGCCAAATAACTCAGACTAGAAGATAAGTATCTATCACCTCAGTCTATAAAGTCACTAGTAAGGTAGAGAGTTAAGTAGTATAGATATGATTAATTCTTTACAAAGAAGTTTTCATCTGAGTTGTTGTCTATAGAATGAGTAGTTGATTAGGTAAAGAAAATGGGGAATAACACAGTTTGGCTAAAAATGTTTTTGGGAACATTACAAATAAAAATTTCAAGATAATGTAAAGGTAACTAGTGCCACTGAATGTGTTATACCCTTAAAATGAGTTATACCCTTTAAATTTTGCTTATCTTTAATTTATTACATTGCTAGCACCCATGTCAGGAGGTTCACAGCCACTTGTAACTCCAGTTCCAGGCGGGTCTGATGCCTCTGGTCTCCATGGACACCTGAGTGCACATAGACACATAATTAAAGCCAATAAAATTAGGGCATTAAAAAAAAAAAAAAACTAAGAGAAAAGTAGCCATGCCAGCTCAGAAGATATGTAGGAAGATCATAAGTTCAAAGGTAGCCTAGGCTCTGCATGCTGAGATTCAGTCTTAAAATAAGTAAAAAACATTTTTGGTTTTTAGGAATAAGACAAAAATGGAAAGCTGACATAGATGTAAGGCATTGGTGTCCATTGATAAGGGGAAAGCCACATTTGTTTTTGTTTTGTTGTTTTGTTTTGGTTTTTGTGGTTCTTTTTTTTAGTCATGTTTTTATTGGGGACTTCTCATAAGAAGGGGCCATGCTGGCTCTCTGAGGTCTGTGACATTGACACCCATTGTATCTTCAGTTCTCATTTATTTTATGTGTCTGTGAGACGTGTGTCTGAAATAAAAATGTATACCATTTCATGTATAGCAGGAAATACATTCTGGTGATATTTTTGTGTAGTTTGCAATTTATACTGAATGATTTGTTGTGTCACCAAAACAAATCTCTCTCCATTTTCAATTACCATTTACATTTCCTGTTAAGATTTTTATACTAGCCTCATCATCTAATGAATTAAATTTGTATTTATTTCACTTCAGTAAGGGCAAATTTTCTACTATAAGCAATTTAACTGAAAAAATTTGCAGAAATTGATTTCTGGCTTCATTCATTTTATTGGTACTGGCCATGCAAAGCAAACATCCACCCAACTTGGTGTTTTTTACTTGTCATTAAAATGACTTTAAAGTATTGTAAAATTTCTAAAAGGTAATAGTATTGTTTCAATGAGAAATTATAGCTTTTGAATATTACTATATGTACCATAAATACTTTTAGAAAATCTTAGTGTGATGTATGTGTATATATTTTATATGTTATATTATATATATACGTATACACAGAGCTACACACACACACACACACACACACACACACACACACACACACACACACACACACACACACGAAGCCTTAAAGATATAGAAAGCCGCATTTGTGATATCCGAGAAAACAGCATTTTCAGAAGGTGAGGTTACACTGGGAATTTAAACCATGAATATTTTTCTTAGAGCATAATGGAAACATCTTTAGATGTGCAGAGGAAGAGGACTGTTATTAGTAGCAAGAAAGAACAGAGAACTTGGTGCCTTTATGGCAAGGATGGTGCACTGAGGTTTAGCTACATGTATGGAACCTACAGATTCTTTGAGGAAAATTCTTTTCTTAATAGCCAAAGTAATTATTCCAACTATAATGATCTGTTACTCCAGGTAAAGGCTCAGTTCATTCCCAGAACTATCATCACTGTAAGCTTTTTGATCTGGTATGGAATATATAGATGGTTATTTAGGCTTTTCACAATTGAACTGAAATAATATCCTTGGCAATACAGAACTACCACCCCCCTACACACACACATACACTTTCTCTTGTGCAGGGGTTCAAACCAAAGGGTTAATCATGCTAGTTAAATGCTCTCACATCTTTAATTTATATTTTGTTTTAGTTTAGGATTTTGCTGTTTGTTTATTCTCTGCTACTGCTACTTTGAGTTTAGGAATAATAAGCATTTAACTGTATTACTAAGAAACACACTGAAAATTCAGACTGTTGACTCCATAAACAAAGTGAGCATGATACCAAGAGTGGGCACCAGCTGTCCTTTCCTAGTTCTGTTCTCAATACAAATGCCCTCTTCCTGGACTCAGCCGAGAAGAGAGATGTCAGTGATCTTAGGACAGCTGCAGTCATCCAAGTGGCAAACAGGGTGAAGTGTTTTCTCTTTTATCCCAGATTTGGACCTTTCATAGACCAGTGTTCTTTCGTTTCAGTTTCAGAGACTGTCAGTATTCAGCACCATGGAAAGAGCCATGGTGTGAAATGGTCACACCTATTGATAAGAAATATATCCTGTGGTTATTTTGTTTAATAGAGGGGCTTGCTGTGTAGCCCTGCTGTCCTGGTATGGCTGAGATTGCATTTAAACTCACAGATGTCCTGTGTGGCTGAGATTGCATTTAAACTCACAGCAATCCCCCTTCCTCAGTCTCCAGAGAGCTGGGCTAACAGATGTATACCACCATGCCCAACAAGAGATGTCTTTTAAAAGAATATTGTCTAATGAAAGTCACAGCATAAAAACATACACCATAGTCTTTCAAAGACATGTAGTGAAGACAGTGGTGGTCAGCAATTCAGAGATGGAAATTAGACCATAAAGTGAGAACTAACAGCCCATATTAAAAGGTAGAATGGAATAAGCAATGAAAAGATGTAACCAGACTGCTTTTCTCAGAATGTGATGACCTTATGTTTCCCTGTAGTCTCAAAAATATTATAAAACTTCATATGAGTGATCATTAATATTTTATATATCTGCCTTCTAGTGTGAGCACATGCTAAATATTATTTGAGGAAGTTAGGTCAGAGAGAGAGAGAGAGAGAGAATGAGAGAATGAGAATGAATGAATGAGAATAAAATAGAACAGTCCAGAAATAAACCTACATACATATGGCCTTTAGCTCTGATAAAGACACAAAGCAGTTCAAAGAAAGGATAGTCCTTTTGTGGGACAGGCTATGCATGTGTGTATAGTGCATTTGAGTAGTTTGTGTGAATACCAGAGGTTGATATCAGGTGTCTTTGCTCTCCACCTTGTTTGTTGAGACAAGGTCTCTCACTGAACCCAGAGCTTACCAGTTGACTGGACTGCCTGGTCAGTAGGCTCTATGGATCTGCCTGTCTCTACCCTCCAGTGCTGAGGTTGCAGACACAACATTTGCCACCAAACCTGGCTTTTACTAAGTGCTTGCTATCTGAATTCAGGTCTTCTTGCTTGTATAGCAGGCACTTTACCCAGGAAAGCATCTCTGCAGCCCAAGGATACTCTTCTCAACAAATTGCTTTGAAGTAGTCACTATTGTTGCCCCCACCTTCTCTCCCACAGACACACACCAAAATCCTTGACATAAACCAAGAGTCACTGTCCATCCACAAAAAAAATCACTGGTACACTGGACTTCATCAAAATTAGAAACTTTCGCTTTATAGAAGTAATCTCAGAAACTCAGAAGATAGTAACTAACAGGAAAAAAGTAGACCACTGAAATACAAATCATACATCTACAATGGAATACATATGAAAACCATATAGGAAAAAGCCTACACAGTTATTTAAAATACCTGTAGTCAGATGTATGTCCCTAGATTTTAATATCAGTATCAATATAGTAATGAAATGTGTTTAAATATTATTGTGTGATTCATCCTATTACAGTTTGGACATAGTTTTAAATACTTTTTTATTTTTATATTATTCTATCAACATATTTTACATTACTTTTTGAATTCTTCAAAATCATGTTGATACTGAAAAACACTTAGAAGAGTGGTTCTCAACTTTCCTAATGATATGACCCTTTAATAGAGTTCCTCATGTTGTGATGATCCCCAACCATAAAATTACTTTCATTGCTGTTTCATAACTGTAATTTTGCTACTGTTATGAATCATCATGTAAATATTTGTGTTTTCCAGTGATCTCAGGTGACTCTCGTGAAAGGATTGTTCTACCCCCAAAGGGGTCACAGCCATGGTTGAGAACCACTGACTTAAAAGTTCAAACTTTTTCCTACTTTCTTCAGTTTATAGCTGTAATGTGGATATGATACTTTAAAATTATTTTGTTTAAATTTCAATTAATTTTATGTTGAACTTGTGGGAGATTGTTTTGTTATTATTAACTACTAACTATTCTAATGTGTCTTTAAAAATTTTATAGTTCAGGGGCCAGCAAGATGGTTCAGTGGGTAGAGGTGTTTGCTACAAAATCTGGTGACCTGGGTTCAGTCTCCAGGACCCATATGGCAGAAGTTTTTCTCTGACTTCCATGTGTGTGAACACACAATCAATAAATAAATACACATGAAAATGTTTTTAGGTTTTTCAGTTCATCTCAGTATTTTTAAACAGCATATACAAAGCAATCCAAAAATGTTATTGAAAATAGGAAACTAAAATTTATCATCTTAGATGGTGGATTTTGCAGTTGTAGTATATGAATAAATCATTTGAAGAGACTCTTGTAAATTGCTCACTACACTGTTAGCTTTTCCCTGTAGTAAGTACTGAACTGACTGATCTTGTGACTTTTGTTTTACAGGATGGAGGTTTGCTTCTGAATAACCCTTCAGCCCTGGCCATGCATGAGTGTAAATGTATCTGGCCTGATGCACCATTAGAGTGTATAGTATCCCTGGGCACCGGACGGTATGAGAGTGATGTGAGAAATACATCAACGTACACAAGCCTGAAGACTAAGCTCTCTAATGTTATCAGCAGTGCTACAGATACAGAGGGTTAGTGTCTTAGGGTTTCTATTGCTGTGAAGAGACACCATGACCATGGCAACTCTTACAGAGGAAAGCATTTAATTGGGATGGCTTACAGTTTCAGAGATTTAGTCCATTATCATCATGGCAGCATGAAGGCATGCATGGTGCTAGAGAAGGAGCTGGGAGTTCTATATCTTGATCTGCAAGCAACAGGAAGTGAATTGTGTGACATGCTGGGCATAGCTTGAGCATAGGAGACCCCAAAGCCTGCCCCCACAGTGACACACTTCGTCCAGCATGGCCATACCTACTTCCAACAAAGTTATACCTCCTAATAGTGCCACTCCCTGTGAGCTTATGGGATTCAATTACATTCAGACTACTACAATTAGTTTTTCTGTGCTACCTTGAGACACTTCAGTTTACAGTGTTTTGATTTGGGTACATGTGACCTGAACTGTGAAAGAGTGCTTTAGGTCTGTCTTGTGTGCTTAGAAAGCACACGGGAGCTCCTCACCCTTCCCTTGTTCAGTGACCCTAAAGAGAGCACTCTCTTGGAAGTTAGTGCCATCTTCTCTTAGAGTTAGAGAACTATCTAATGCTGACCTGGACAAAAGCTCAGGTGGAGACTTGCTGGTTAAGAAAAGGAAAAGCGACAAAGGTCAGGTGGGTTTAAATGTTCGTATAATAACCATGAGACAATTGGAGGACTAAGACAGTTGGATTCTGAAAAATGTGGAAGTCACCTGGCATTAGAATACATTCTTGTTTCTGCTTTTGGTGCCCTTCTAGAATAGTCTTCTTAAAGTGGCCCATTTAAAGTCTATTCAAAATATCATCCCTCTTTCCTCTTCTTAAAAACTTTCTAGGCTTCCTGTCTGTGGAACAAAATCCAAAAGCCGTCTTCCACTAAACTTATCAGACCGTGTAAGACTGAACCTCTGAATGTGCCTCTTCTTCCCCAAAATATATCTAGCCATTTTAATTCTTACTACTCTCCATACACTCTAAGAACTCGTGGGCCTCTTGGCTTCTGCTATTGCTGTACTGTCCCTGTAAGGCCCTCTGCCTAGATACATGTGTGGCCTTTGCTTCATTCAGGCCATCTGCTCTCAGGAGACCTTTCCAGACCATTTCTCCAGTTCTTCACCATCTTATTCCAGGCACTTACATACCCATCTGCTTCTTTTTCTTTCTCCCTCTCCAAGTACTTGTCTTCTTACGGCTATACATTACATATTTATTTATTGCACGTCTCTCTGTGCCATTAGAATAGAAGGCAAAAGGTAGAGGTATAGCTCAGTATTAAGAGTCCTTGTCTGACATTTGTGAGGCCCCGAGATTCATCCTCACCACCTTAAAATGCAAAAATGCTTATCTTGTCTTATCAAGTTTATTGTTGATTCCAGTTCCTAGCACATATTGAGCCTTTGGCAAGTGTCTGTTGAATTTTGAATTTTGAATTTTGAACCTTGAGCTTTATTTATATCTCTTAACCTTACTGCTTTATTTTTATATCCTAAAATGTGTTATTAATTTCTTAAAGTAGTAGTTAACAGCTCCATGTTTAAGCCAGTCTCTCCGTATCAGGATGCTTTTAGTTAAATCATGAACTTAGTGAGGTTCTTCAGCTCTCTGTTAAGGACTTGTATCTTTTAAAAGGTAACCTACAAAAACACGACAAACTGCATTTTTTCACTCTCTGAAATTTTGCTGAATTCATAAGGTATCTTTTTCACTTTGTTCAGTTAAAATTGACAAAAACTGTATATATAAGGTGTGCAACTTGCTTAAATTCAAGTACATTCTATAACAGTTGCTACAAGATAAATGTTTCCATCTCCTGGTGTGATTAACTCTGATTACCATACTGTTTATTCAAACACTAGCATTTATTCAGCTGCAGGAATTGAAAGTTTATACCCTTTAGCCAATATCTTCCCCATCATTAAACTCCAGGACAGCTAGCATGCAATACTCTCTTTTTCCTAAGCTTGACTATTTTAGATTCTACATACAAATATCATGCATTATTTGTCTTTGTTCATTGGCCTTCAGATTCATCCATGATGTTGCAGCTAAAATCCTACTGCATGTAAAATACATACTGGAATGCATATCCTGACTATTTTTAATACTGCAGTGAACATGGAATGACCAATACCTCTTCAAGATTCTGATTTCATTTCCTTCAAATATATACCCAGAGTGGGATTTCTGGTTCATATAGTAGTTGTATTTCTATGTCTGTGTAGCACCTCCATGTTGTTTTGATAGTGGTTGTACGAATTTGCATTCCTACCCTTTTTCCACATCTTCAGCAACACTTACCTCTTACCTTTTGATAAGAGCCAACCTTATAGTGTGACTTTGTGCTTTTAATTTGCATTTGTGATGATTCAATAAAATTTTCTTATGGTAGGCCATCTGCTCAGACAGTAGTTTTTTTTTTTTATTATTATTCTTTTTTGGGGGGCCGCCACCCAGCTCCCAAATAAGTCACACACGGAGGCTTATTCTTACTTATGAATGCCCGGCCTTAGCTTGGCTTAGTTTCTAGTCAGCTTTTCTTAACTTTAGATTATCCCATCTACCTTTTGCCTCTGGGCTTTTCCCATTCTCTTACTTCTGTGTCTTACTCTTACTCCATGGCTTGCTGGGTAGCTAGGTGGCAGGTACCTCAAGTCCTCCTCCTTCTCTGACTGCTAGCTTGATCCTTTTCTCCCAGATTTCTCCTTCTGTATATTCTCTCTGCCTGCCGGTCCCACTATCCTTTCTCCTGCCTTGCCATTTCTTTACATCAGGTGTTTTACACAGGCACAGTAACACAGCTTCACAGAGCTAAACAAATGCAATGTAAACAAAAGCAACACACCTTAAAATAATATTCTACTACAGACAGTCTTTAATGAGCCAATCTCATACTGCCTAAGTCTATATTTCAGATAATGGTGAGTTCTTTTGGAAACTTTAGAAGATGTGAAATGTTACCTCATTGTACTTATGCTCTAATTAATACAAATACAGAGGTTTAATTGTGATAATTAACTTTGAAAACAGATGCAAGAATTACATTGAAACATAAATAATAATTTATTATAAATTGTTATTGAAATACAAAAAACAACAGTTTTATATGGTCCACTCTAAGCAATTATTGATTAAGTGGTAAATATATATATGACTGATTAAGAGGAGCACAAGACAACCAACATGATTCTGTTTGTCTGACATTCTTTAAAAAGGAGGAGGGTAAGAGATGACTTGCTGGAGACTCAGAAACCTTTGGAGGTCATAAGAATGCTCATGACTTGTGGTAGTAAAACAAATGTTTATCCATTACCAAACTTTTTCAAATTACACAGTTAAAACTGATTAATTTTAATACGCATAAATATATAGCCCAGTGAAGATGGTCTCCAAAAAAATGAAAAACAAAAGGAAAGTAAGGCATTTTATCAGGGAAAGAGAGTCATCAAGCAAGATCATTAATTGAGCAGAATATATAAAGTATTTGGAAAGTGATTTGCAATTTGTAGATTTGTTCTTATTATGGATTCCTTGAACCTATTGTGAGTTGGGGTATTAAAAGCATGTTCATAATGTGCCTAAAATGAAGATAACTTTAAATGAAGAAAAAAAATTAATGGAGCATTCCAAAATAACTTGCCTCACACCTTCTTGTCTTATCCACCCTCTCTCCTTTATTTTTGTTTTAACAGAAGTCCATATAATGCTGGATGGTCTGTTACCTCCTGATACATATTTTAGATTCAATCCTGTCATGTGTGAAAACATACCCCTAGATGAAAGTCGAAATGAAAAGCTGGACCAGCTGCAGCTGGAAGGGATGAAGTATATAGAAAGAAATGAACAAAAGATGAAAAAAGTTGCAAAAATATTAAGTCAAGAGAAAACAACTCTTCAAAAGATCAATGATTGGATAAAATTAAAAACTGACATGTACGAAGGCCTTCCATTCTTTTCAAAATTGTGAGAAGGGTATATACATATATTCTCATAAGTGAAGCCCATCAGAAGACCCACCAAATTTAGTGAGGAACTGTGTGCTTCAACATGAGTTTTCTGTGGGATACTGAATGAATTGTGGGAAATCCTGAAACAGATGATGCTTTGAACAGGTTGCACCTCACAGAAGATATGTTTGATTACAGAAGTCATATGGGAATTAAGTACTTAAGATGTTCATAACCTTTAGGCATTTTATTACTGTGCTAGTTGGTTTTAGTATCTATTGGTCTTAAATTGTTTGATGTTTGAAAATTTATTAATATATGTGCCAAACAAGAAATGGGAAGTCTTGTACTTAGTGCTTTGCTTTTAGTTGTCTAAATCATGTGGAATTTGTGTGACCATTGATTTTCTTTTGTGTCAAAAGCTGATTTCTCTTGACATTTACACTACTCAGCATTTCACTAGGTGCACCTACAATCCATGTGTTACCTTTCACTGTAATATCCTTTAAAGAGATGTGAAAATGGGATTTTCTTTGTTAAAGTACCTGTATGTTTGAAATAGGAAAGAACTGGATACAGTTTTCTATTTTAAAAGATCGGTGAATTTCCAGTGAACTAACTTTCCTCTTGAGATTTCAAGATAATGTTCACTTTTCTAGAACGAATGCTATCTTTTCATTCACTCTTACAGAATCAATTGTTTGATTTTACTGAGAAAATATTCTTATCATTAACAGAAATAAACTATTGAAGTGATCAGCTCTGCAAGGCTAATACCGTTTTAAAGTTTTATATTGCTCATAATGATTGCCCAATTCCTTGTAGCATTTATGAAGAAATGTTAGTCTACTTAGATTTACTTCAGTAATACCTTTAACTATTTGGGTTTTACCAAAGTCAAAATGTGGTTCTGTAGGCCAAATAAATTCTTCTTTGCTGTATTATTTCCTTTGTAAATCTTTACATTGTGTTGAAATTTCCTATAAAAAATGAAACCAAGGTGTGTACTTACCCACATAAACTAGCACTGACCCTGCTGCCCACACGTGTTGCCATGCTGTTTGCAGTGCTGGCTCACTGAAATGATGAGATGGGTGAGAGCTGGGGAACGATGGAGGATGGGGTGTTCATCTGCTGTCTGCTGCATGCAGCCTCTCTCATGACTCTGGGGACAGTGGACAGTTGGTGAGAAGGGGAAAGCCAGTTGTCAAGTTTTGTGACTTATCATTCATATTTTAGGAATAAGATAAATAAGCATCCAGTGATCTCAGAAGATAATTAAAACAATCCTTTTTAGACTGTAAATACAAATAAGCTCTTACACAGCTAGACTGACTAGTGTAAGAAAAATAGAAACTGCTGGAAATCTGCATATTCTGGGAATTCCTTACAATAGGTTTCAAGCCCAAGCTGCTGACTGTGTGGCCCACACAAGTGTGCCTTGTGAGCTTCTCTTGTACTAGCCTGGTGCAGTTCGTGCTGTGCAGCTTCAGACCACTTTGCCTTGGTTGTGCTTTGCTGGTCATTGCCAGGGGTAATCAATGCCCGGTTTCTTTCTTCAGCCACATACCTTGAGTACTACCTTCGCTCTTTGATCCTGACAAAGTCTAGCCATTTGTGGAGTATACAAGTTTTTGTTTGCTCTTATCCCCACTGGTCCTGATTATCCAAAGAACTGAGTAATTCCCTGAGAGAACATTCATTCTGTAATGAAAGCAGTACTCTGTGTCCAAAAGCAAGGTACCAGGGCTCAGAAAGGACCACTGCACACTCTTAGAAAAACACCATCATTTTAACTAGAATGTACTTTCCTGGAATGTAGTAGAATGACTTTAGATCCAGCTTACTGAACTGAATCTGTGATGTTGGATTCAGTTGGTGAGGAAATGTACTTATCCCAATACTTATCACCTTAGTCTTCACATATGACCTTAGAGCTTTTTGCAAAAGTAGATTATCTCAGTATTCAATTTTGTAGAAATATCTCATGTCTTTCTTTAGCCATCCTAGGTGCCGTGGTACCATATAGTGGTGCTGTCCTCATGATGACACCTCCCAAAGGACTCACAGATCTGTGGAGAAGGGGCTAGAGGAGATGATGCCTGAGCTTTCCTACCCAGTATGCCAACATTCAGCCTTTCGGAAGGAGCTGTCTACAGAATGGCCACAAATGCCTACAATGAATTTCTTCTACAGGAAGTTGAAGATGTCCTCTGTGTAGTTAGGATGCATAAACCATTTGCATGGAAAATTCCACTTTGGTTCTATCCCAACAAATTCTTTTCACATTCATTGCACTGTGTTCTTTTTTGTTGTTGTTTCTTGCCAAGTTTAAATACAACAGAACTGTTCGCTTAATTTGACTTTGAAGCAAATCTATGGCAATTACTCTTTCATGACTAGGAAATAGGAAGCGCATTAAAAAACAGTTTGTTCTGTTCCTGGCAGGAGCTATCTACCATTCAAAAAGGCTTCACAGACTACAGATGCCCCTGGACTAGACTGTTTGCATGTGTTGGTCCACCAGTTTGATAAATGTGCCTCTCAGAAGTTACACTGATTGCTTTGTTCCTTATAACTTGTATTCAACTGATGTGAATAGATCCAAACTCATCACACCCCACAGATACACATTACTAGTTTGGTTAATTAGTTCGTTAAAAATAAAATATTGGACCAATGAGATGGCCCAATGGATAAAGGCACCTGCCCCCAAGCCTGATAATCTAAGTTGAATACTCAGAATACAATTTGACCCCTGATCACCAGACAGAATGCATGTGTATGCATACACACAGACAGAATGCAAACGTGCCTGTGCATACACACACAGTAAAAAATAAAAGAGTAAGCTAGGTGTGATGGTGCAGACCTGTAACCACAACAGCTGGAAAGCAAAGGCAGGATAATCGGGACTTCTCAAGGCCACCTTGGGCTACACGGTTGAGTCCAAAACCAATCTGGGCTTTGCGAGGCTCTGCCTCGGGGGCAGGGGATGTAAAATATTGACCTATGCTGATTTTCTTTCATTTTATATATATATGAAAAACTATTATATCTTATTCTTTGCTTTTAGGCACTACATACTGTGAGGCGTGACAGTTAATACTGTCCAATTGACAGAATCTAGAGTCACATAGGTAATTCTGCGAGCATGCCTGTGAGGGATTATCTAGACTAGGTTACTCAAGATGGTAAAACCCACAACTGTGATAGCACCATCCTGTAGTCTGGCATCCCAGACTGAAGAAAAAGAAAAGAAGCTGAACACTAGCTTTCATCACTGCTTTCTGGCTGCCGATTCTGCTTTCTGGCTGCCGATTCTGCTTTCTGGCTGCAGGTGCAATGTGAGCAGCTGCCTCATGCTCCTGTCCCAGTGCCTTCCTGGGCCATCCATAATAGAAAACATTCAAGATGTGAGCCTAAATAAACTCTTCCTTAAGTTACCTTTCTCAGATATTTTGTTGCAGCAACAAGACAGGACAGTAATATGGATACATTTTAAAGATTACATTCTGATTTAACATGAACAGGTTAAGTTGTCAAAAATGGATGATAGTCTAATAACTGACATTTACAAGTCTTCATAAGAACTTTATAAGTATTATCACTGTTCTTAATATATAATATCGCTGAGATGAAGATAGGACAAATTGGTTTTTGCCTGTTTTGTCAATGCCATTGGGAAGTTAAAACCATAGTATGATTATGTCTATAATCCTTCCAAATTTAAATACTGTATCTAGGATTAAAAGTATTGTCATATCCTTTCAGATACTATAATATCTACACATTTAAATACTTGATTTAATGTACTTTTCAGTGATCAAAGTAAAAATATTATCTATTTCATAGAAGAATAAAACAGTTAACAAAGGCTGAAGTGATGACTTAGCAGTTAAGAACACATACTGCTCTTCCAGAGGACCTGAGTTCAATTCTTAGCAACCACATCAGGATGCTTACAATCACCAGTAACTCCAGCTCCAGGGAGATCTCATACCTCTGGCCTCTTCAGCAACCTGCACTCATAAGCACACACACAAACACACATATACAAAATAAATATAAATAAAATCTTTGCTAGAAATGATAGGGAATACCTTTAATCTGAGCACCAGGAGGCAGTGGCAGGCAGATATGAGTTCTAGGTCATTCTGGTCTACAGAGTGAGTTCTAGGACAGCCAGGGCTACATAATAGAGCCCATTTCAAAGCAAGACAAATCTTGACAAACTAGAGAAACTAAGAAAAAGGTGAAAGTGATCAAATATTCTTGGTTTTCATCTATAATACCTTGTTAAGCAAAGGTTTTACTTTTCTCTTTTGTACTATTGAGTCATCTCAATCTTGGAAGAGTGTATTCTAGGGTAACAACCATTTTACTTTTCTGTTGGTGGTAGCATATGACCACTCAAAGGAATTCTTAATAATCTCTCAAGTTGACAAGGTAAAAACCAGTGAAGATTACATCTCTCTCTGCCTTTCAGATTAGTCTTAATGTGCTTTTTCTTCTATAATGCTTGTAGAACTAAGTCATTTAGAACTAACTTGTACTCTCAGTCATTGAAACTACATTCTGGTACATCACAGTTGCTGTTACTTTGCTGGTTTTGAATGACCACGTTTGATAAAAGGATACAGTTAACCCACACACATCTAAACATGCCGTATGTATCCCTTGCCATGCTTGATTATGTGGAAAATGCTCAGTGCTTAACACTCAAAGCTACAAGTAATGGAACATTAGACCACATTAGTTTGGTTTATCTGTAGATAAACTATAATGAATAATTACATGCTTTAAGTGTTCTGGTGAAGTTTAGATAGTATAGATTGACAGTAGTAGTCTTATTTTTGTTATTGGTTTTTTGAGACAGGGTTTCTCTCTGTAGTTTTGGTGGTGCCTGTCCTGTATCTTGCTCTGTAGACCAGGCTGGCCTTGAACTCACAGAGATCCGCCTGGCTCTGCCTCCTGAGTGCTGGGATTAAAGGTGTGCGCCACCGCTGTCCAGCGGAATTCTCATTTTTTAGCACGTAAAATTTTGACACCCTGATCTTCAGAATAACATTCTATGTGCCTGTGATAGCGCATGGAAAATTGCTGTATCCAACTCCACATGACCATTATCATCTCAATAAGAAGAGTGTTCAGTGTAACCTTCTTTTGAGTAATTTTCACAACCAGAAGATTGCTGGGGAAAAAATCTGAATACCCAAAACTACAAAAACAGAAATGTTATGAAAAAATTTATGAAATTGATTATTTTTATTTTAAAACATGATGCTAAAACTTTTATTTACTTATCTGTGGCTCACTAGGTTACTTTCTACTACACAAAACTGCTCGAGAATATTTTGCCCTTCTCCTGGACTCTATTCTCGTGTCTAGAGTCCGTCATACACTCTTCTCCTACATAAATACACATACATAAAATTTGGAAGTGAGGATCTGCTAATGAGAGAGAATGTGGTGTTTACCTTTCTGAGCCTGGGTCACCAAAAGTGGAATTCTTACTAAGCAGTAAATAACTAAAACAGTTATTTTTATTATCTTACTACATGTTTCCAATTCAGTTTGCCACAGGCTTTTTGGAAGTACCTCACACTTCAGCACTGCTGCGTGTGTTCTGGCCTTTCATCTTTTCCTTAAACTGGACTGAACCAAATCATCTGCCTTGCATCATTATGGAAAGCTGAACTAATCAAAATGCTTTTAAAAGTACCTTCTGAAAGTGAAACTTGTCCCCTGTGCTGGGATCCCTTCCCTCTCTAGACAGTGTCACAGATTATAAGACTGTCATGTCCTTTCACTTGGTGCCTGAAGAAAATCTTCACACATATGCTTGTCTTGTATCTCAACAGGGACTCTGGTAGAGCCCCTTGGGCACAGAAAAAAAGGTTCCTTTTATCTGAAGGCTGGGCTTTGTTCTCTTTCTGAGCAT